TTGTTGGTGGCGCTAGGTCAATTACATGAGCACATAATTCTATTAAATTATCAACAGCATTTGATTAATAACTATAATAAAGAAAATGTTTACATTCTTCGTAAAGAGCTGACATCAGTTCTTTGTAAAGAAAATACACAACAACAACAAAAACGACCTCAAATGCATATGGAAAAATTTGCTGATAATTATTATTTTTTCATTTAACACTTTAACGCTTACTTTCAATTGGAATTATTTTGCCATACACCGGAACCAACAATGTCCCCTCCTCTCTCTCTCATCCCCAGTACTACAACTTGTTAATTACTCATTATTGTTTTTATGCTATTATTTTTCGTTGTTAACTAAATAGATTATGTAAATATATGTGGTAGGATATGATTAGGGTTATTTGTTACCAAAAGACAAAAAAAAAACACTGCATGACGAGACGGCCAATTAAGTAGCAAAGTTTGAATTTATTAAAAAAAAAACAAACATGAAATACATTTGGAGCGTGAAGAAGCAGTGGTCGTGTACAGAGCTGTGGTCATCATCAGTCAGTCGTTGGTCGCTTGCCATAGTCCAGGTATAAATCAGCAGAATTGCATGAACTGAACAGTCATCCAGTGGCGAGTTCTTTAACCGTGATAGGGCAAAGTTTTTTGCTTTTAATTTTGTGGGAATTATGGTTTTTTGTTTCCATTTCAATTTCATTGCATTTCAGGCACAAAAATAACTTTCATTATCGCTACCTTTGGGTGTAGATTATTTTAAGAGCTCAACATAATCTCTACTGGCAACAACAAACATTTTAATGGGAAATTATTTTTATCTATCCTAAGCTTTTCTAAGAAGTGTGATGTGACTTTAATACATTTTGCGCTCCACATGATTTACTTGAGAAAAAAGGGGATTGAATTATTTTTTATACCCTCCATCATAGTATGAAGGATATATTAAGTTTGTCATTCCGTTTCTAACACCTCGAAATAAACATTTTAGACCCCACAAAGTTATATATTCTTGATCAGCATAAAATTCTATGTCGATTTAGCCGTCCGTCTACACTATAGCTTCCGAACGAAATAAAGTAGGTTGATAAAATTTTACTTGAATATATATTATGTCTGCAGGACTTTTGGTATTAAAAATGGGCCATGTAAGTCCACGTTTTGGTATTGCGCCCATATAACGGTACCTTCCTATTTTCGGTATTTTGGTGATTTAGGCGACATTATTCACCAGAAATGTTTCAAATTTGGTATTTGAAGTTCGTAATGGATACTACAGCCTATGACAGAAAATTGTCTGTGCAGGCCCACATCTTCGTATAGCCCTCATATAGCGGTACCTCCCGATATTCGATTTTTTGATGATTTAAGCGACATTATTCACCTGAATTGTTTCAAATTTTGTATTTGAAGTTCGTAATAGATGCTACAGCCTAAGACAGAAAATTGTCTGTGCAAGTCCACCTCCTCGTATAGCCACCACATAACGATACTTATTTACCGGAATCGATTCAAATTTGGTATTTGAAGTTCGTAATGGATGCTACAGAAAATTGTCTGTGCAGATCCACGTCTTCGTATAGCCCCCGGTACATTTGATGATTTTAGCGACATTATTCACCGGAATTTTTTCATGTTTCGCATTTGAATATTGTAATGGTTGCCTATGCAGGTTCACGTCGTCGTATACATCATAATATAATGGCTATATTCGGCATTTTTAAGATTTTAATAGAATTTTTAACGGATTTTTTTTTTAATTGACATGTTCTTTCCAAATGATGGAGGGTATAAAAAGTTCGGCCTGACAGAACTTACAGCATTTTTAATCGTGTTTTAGATTTTTTTTCATTTTGGTAGGCGGAGCCAGAAAAAAATGAGTGGTTAATAACCAATTGATTAGTATGACTAGAAGAAGCAGCTTTGGAAAATTCATCCTTGTATGATACGAGCTTGTTCAAAAAAAGTTCTTGATATTGAATTATATCGCATAGCAAATGCCATTTATATGAGAAATATATTCTTGAAGGAAAATGAAATTCTACAATTATTTTTGATTTTGAATTATATAGCATAAAGAATGCTATATTCATATGGTTTAATTATATTGAGAACGAAGTCATTAATACTTAAACAGAGCAATGAGTTTTATTATTTTTTTAGGCACAGGAGCAGGAAGTGAAAACCAGATGGTGGAGATCGAATATTCCAAAAATAAAAAAATAAAATAAATTGTTGATATCAGCTCAGAAGCTCACTGGCTGCATTTGTGAAAAAATGATAATTCATTCGCTCAGAATAAAGGGCCTAAGATAAATATTAATTATGCTTTGTAGTATTGACTATGGCTTAGGACAGTCCTCCCTAATATTGATTTAAATCCTAAAACGAATGCCATCTATTGTTCAGTTATTTTGACAATAAAATTCTCCAATAAAAAGTTTTTGAAGTATGCGCCATTTGCTGGTTTTTCTTAAAACTGTGTGTTTGGTCATATGGAATGCCATCTATAGTCCAATTTTACACAAGTTTTCTTAAAAAAAGTACTAATGTACAACGCACAGAATAAAGGCCACAAGTTGGATTTTCAATGCACTTTGAAATATAAACTTTGTTTTGGCAAAATTCCTCCTTAAAATTGATATAAATCTCAAATGCAATCAGCAGCAATTTACTCAATCAAATTTATCTATTAAAAATTCGAAGAAAGCATCTTTTGTAGCCATTTTTTAGTTGCTTTCTCAAAAATAGGCTACAAGTTTTCATTAGTTTTTTTTTCGAGTGCAGGGACGGTAATAAGGAACGTCATTTATAGTCCAATTTCATTGAAGTGTTCCTTTTCCAAAAAAAGGAATCGATTCAGTAACCAAAATATGAATACAGTTTAATCTCAAAAAGGGAAAATCGTATAATACAGGATCGAAAGCTGTATTCAAAAATTCCAAAGATCAAAAAATAAAATGGAAAATGAAGCCCTCTAGCTGGAATCATTGATACTAACTGGAAATTGAGATAGAATAGGGGGATGAAGCTGGGATATTCAATATGATTTAAAATCTGAGCTGAGTTTTGAAAAATGCATTCGTAAATAATACGAATTTGTCAAAAAGTTTTTGAAGTTATAATATATCTCAAAACGAACGCCATCTATAGCTCAACTCTACTTTACTTGAAATGCGTCATCTCTCTATTCACATCTTCGGCCTCTTAAGTCAAAATGGCGCCCTCTAGCTGCAATCATTGAAACTAATTAGAAATGGAGCCAGAAAACAAGCGAAAAAATTAATTCAAATCAACGCCCCGAAGAGGGGGCTATGATTTGCAATCTTTGCTGAGTTTTGGAAAATTTATTCTTAAATAATATGAACTTGTCAAAAAGTTCTTGAAGTTATTTTATATCTCAAAACGAACGCCATCTATAGCTCAACTTTATTTACGTGAGTCGTCTCTTTAACCACTTCTTCCTCACCATGTTTTATATCTCGCCCTCTGAAGTCAGTGTTATTTTGTTCGAAATCTCTCAAAGAGTCTTCACATTTGAAACCAAGACTAATTTTATTCAAGGAAAGAAAACAAAACCCAAAAGAAAAAAATAAGAAAAACAGATGTCTAATAAATGCCTCCTAAATACTATAGACTTTTTGCAGAAATGTCGGATATTCGGCATTAATTTTTAATTTTTTTTTTTTATTTTCCTTAAGTTTTATTCCAAGTATTAGAACACGAGAAACTCTTCTTCTCCGGAGATCAAAATTTTAGCAGTACAACCACGCCTCTTCAATCTATTCAACAACTGGAAACTCGACCGGCAATGTTTCTTTGTCTAAATTTCCTAATCTTAAATCTCAACCTTTTCTATCTGCACAAGAAGTTCATTAAACTCCAAATGAATAGATACTTCATTTAACCCTTTGTCAAAATTATTATAATTTCTTTCGGAAACAAAGGAAGACAGTAGATCAGCAACTTATAACTCGCTTAATAAAATAGCAAATCTGAATAATAATTCAAATAACGTATAAACTAGTCAATAAATTCAAATCTAAATTAATTCCATTATATTTGACAGACAGCAGTCAGTCAGTCAATGGGTTGATGCATTTAATTAAAATGATATCAAGTTTTTGAGACATAAATCAGAATCTAAATCGTCAAAGACGATTTTTTCGTGTCAGACAAAATATGAAACATGAAAGCTACGCATTTTAACCCTGAACTTGACCAAACCGCTTGTGCGCGAGGCAAAGAAACAAAAACCGGCTGGGCTATGTCTGAAAATAAAACAATTTGCTGTTTTTTTTTCTCAACCACATTTTTCAACAATTTTTAATGTATTGTTGATTGTTGTTTTTTGTTTTACTAGACCGTCGTAATTATTATTAGCCGGCTTCTTTGCCGAATCGACAAAAGAAAACCAGTTTTTATTTTGTTAATTGTGTTTACCTGTCTGAAAATAAAAACACATTTTTTGATGACTACCAAAAAAAAAAAAAAAAAACAACATTCTTCACGTACTGCTGAAGTAGATTTTTTTCTTCAAGATTTCCTTTTTATAGATATTTTTCTCATGGAATGTGTTTTTTCTTTACCCACTCTTCTTTATGATAAGCTTTTAAAAAATGCCATAACATTATTGCAACATTTGAACTAAATTGCAAAACTGTCTCATATTAAAATATATCTTCAAAATCCAACACTTTCTACTATTTCAAAACCTCTTTTTGATTCACTCGGGGTTTTTTTCCAACAACTTCTTCAGTTTCCTAGAACGACTTGTCTCTTTCCCACTCTTTGTTTTATGGCAGTCCATAAATTATTTTCTTTCTCTATTTGGTTATAATCATTAAAATTAGCATTAGCTTCTTAAAAATAAATAAAAATTATGTTAATTATTTAACGGGTATTTTCTGTTATGTACATTTTTTAAACATGTTAAATAACATAAACTTTTTATCACCAAAAAAACGGTTACTAATTATTGTTTATGTTTTTGTATCTTTGCAGATTCTTCGGATATTGTTGATTGCAAATTGAAATTGATCTTGGGCCTGATATGGACTTTGATTTTGCACTATTCCATTTCTATGCCAGCCTGGGAGGGTGAAGATGATCAACAATTGAATGGTTCGGGACCAACACCGAAACAGAGGTATGTAATTTTGGTTTCCAAAAAATAGAGTGATATTTAAACTGATCATGGAGTTCGTTGCTTGGGGGTAAAATGTATCTATGCATTTCGGTAGAGGTACAGGGTGAGATAAAAAAACTACAACAAAGTTAAACGCCATAATTTTTACATTTTTTTTAAATTTATTGAATGAAAGCAAAACAAGTAAAAAAAGCTATAAGTTCGGCCGGACCGAACTTTAAATACCCTCCACCATTTGGAACGAATTTGGCAATTCTCAAAAACAATAAAATCCGTTAAAATCTTACAAATACCGAATGTAGCCATTATATTAGGGTCAATACGACGACATGGACCTGCATAGGTATTTTTTCATAAGCCATTACAATATTCAAATGCGAAACTTAGAAAAAAATCGGTGAATAATGTAGCTACAGTCATCAAAATACCGATTATCGGGAGGTACCGTTATATGGGGGCTATACGAAGACGTTGACCTGCACTTACAATTTTCTGTCTTAGGCTGTAGTATCCATTTCGAACTTCAAATGCCAAATTTGAAACAATTCCGGTGAATAATGTCGCTAAAATCATCAAAATACCGAATATCGGGAGGTACCGTTATATGGGGGCTATATGATAACGTGGGTCTACATGTCGAACTTAACCTGTCTACTGGCAAAATATACATGTGTGCAAAATTTTAGCATTCTATCTCAATTCCTTCGAAAGATAGCGCGATTACAACAGACAGACAGACGGACATGGCTAAATCGTCTTAGAATTTTACGCTGATCAAGAATATATATACTTTGTTAGGTTTCCAGGAGTTACAATCGGAATGACAGAATTAATATATTGAGGCTATATTAAAAATTATTAATTAAAAAGTATGGTGAAGGGTATAAAATGTCGGAAATAGCATCAAATTTTAGAATATGTTTAGATTTGTTCGAATTGGTCACCTTTGGCACGAATTATGACCTTCACACGCTCCCCGAATGTTGTTCTGCGGTATTTTGGCCCATTCCCGGCGAAGCGCTTGCTTGAGGTGATCGACACTTTGGTATTTTTTCCAAAATACTCCAGACGCAATAGTCCAACGGATTGGTATCCGGAGATTTTGGAGGCCATTGTGCGCTGGAAATAAAGCGAGGGACCTCTTTTTGTAACCATTCTTGTGTGGCGCGTGCTGAGTCCTATTGGAATGTCCAAGGTCTGCGGCCAAAATGTTTGCGTGCCCAAGGCTTTAATACACCTTTCAGTATATTTTCGCGATAATATTCGGTTTTTATTCTGATGCCACGGTCAATTAATACGAGCGCAGAGCGACCATTGGCTGTTATGGCGGGCCACACCATCACCATGGCCGGCGCTTGAGTTCTGGTGACCAAACGAAGGTGCACGTTTTCAGCTGACCTCTTTGGACAACAAAAGTTTTTCTGCTGGACAACGAATGTTTTCTCATCGGAGAAAACCAAATTCGGCAGTTCACCACTTTCGGCCATGCGAAGCAACTCTTTAGCTCTTTTGAGTCTATTTTCTTTACGTTGCGGTATAATTTCTTGCATTTTTTGAAATTTAAATGGATTTACCCCGAGCTTATTTTTCAATATTTGCCGAATGGAAGAGTGTGATATATTCAGCTGACGAGCCATTTTTCGGCCTATGCGACGCGAGTTTCGATCAAGTCGCTTCTTAACTTTTCGAAACATTTCTGTTTTTTTTTTTTTTTTTCTTAAGTCTTCTTCATCTTTGGCGTCGGGCTACGCTAACGAGCGATGGTACGAGACACAAAATATTTATTCACATTTAAATGCTGGAGTGCTCTAACGATAGCCACTTGTGGTTTTCCAGCCAAATATAAAGAAGTCACACAATCACGCTTGAACTCCATCGCGAAAAACTTTTTTTTTTCTGGAAAATTCTCTGCTTTTGCACGCTTGTAAACAATATAATGAGCTGTCTGTGAAAGAATTTTAACAGCTGTTGGACGAGTGGCTTAGAAATGGCAGCAGTCTGAAATTGGTTGCAGTTTCTTCATCTCACCCTAATTTCAAAAGTCATTAAAGTAGAATTTTTTACATAAATTACGGTTACGTCGGCGCTACGTCCGGACCTAAGCTTATACAATTTTTTTTTCATTTTCAGTAAAAATTCAACATTTTGATATATTTTTAATTTTCCCCTTTCCTTTTCTAGACTGCTCAATTGGATACATGGTAAAATACCCGATTTACCCATCAAGAACTTCACAAATGATTGGACCAGCGGTAAGGCTGTTGGTGCCTTGGTTGATGCCTGTGCTCCAGGTCTGTGTCCCGACTGGGAAATGTGGGATCCCAAGGATGCTGTACAAAACGCTTCCGAAGCCATGGGTTTGGCTGATGATTGGTTGAATGTGCGCCAACTGATCAAACCCGAAGAATTGGTCAATCCCAATGTTGATGAACAATCCATGATGACATATTTGTCACAATATCCCAATGCCAAGTTGAAGCAAGGAGCTCCATTGAGGCCCAAAACTAATCCAAATAGGTAAGTTACCATCAAACTGACAAACATTCCACGAAGATCACAGTGTAGATATAATGATGACTTTTTGTTCGAAAAAAAACCCATTCCTTGTGTTCACCATTTAAGATTATCTATTTTTATTTTTCTTTCGTTCCATTTTTTTTTAAGTGTTCAGTTTCGTTTACTTCATTCCTTCCATTTTTTTTTTGTGTAATTTCAAAATGGATTTCTAATTTTTTATGTTTTAATTCTTTCTTTCTCTCTTTCTGTACTATTTTCTTCTTTATATACAAATTCAACCAACAAACGCAATTTGTTTTTGTTTCTTGTGTATTATTTCTCTCACCTTTGTGAAAAACAAAACCAAAAAAAAAAAAAATACCCACCAACCAACCAACTACTACTATTCCGTTTGTATGTATCCAAATCTGATTTGAAATTCCTCCTGAAAATACATTTTTTGCGCTGCTGCTGCTTGTTCCTAAAATTATTTTTTTTTAAATAACAACAACAACAATATTGGATATATGCATACCACCAACTGAATTTCTTCCTATAATGCCAATCAAAATACAAAAATATCCAACCAAAAATCTGTACCCAAAACAAATCTCTGTTGTTGTTCTGAAAAAAATCTCCAACGAAAAAAATCAAAACCCTGGACTTCCCCCACCCTCCGAAAATCATTAAAACCCCAACTCAGCATTCCTCCACCGCGGTAAGTCTGGGAATGCTTTGAATTTTGTTGGATTTTAGCTGTTGTCCAGTTGTTTTGTTTGTTTTTTTTACGATTTTTTGGCTAAACGTATGCGCCTTGTTCTTTCTATTTTGTCTCACCAATGAATTGGAATTTGTTAACGCTTTTTTACCTGTGCCAAAATACAAAAAACCATACATACAAAGTTTTTCGCTCTCAACTGTGTAAATAGCTTTTTTTTAGCTGGATTTCTTCCAAGCCCAATGCTCGCTCTATTCGCTGTTTCTTCCCTTCCTCTCCCTTAATGGGAATTCAGTTCAAACGTCTTTTTGTTCACGCAAATATTTATTCCTATATTGTGCTTTGTTGCTATTATTTATAAACCGACAAAAACGCGCAAAGCTCAAATGCTGCTCTAAATTATCATCCAAAGCGTTTGCCTGAATTTTAATGCCGGCTATTTGTGAATGGCAAACCGCATTTCGACGTGTAGACAGTAACAGCGGAGAATTTTAATGCCGTCTCTACCAGCCAAAACTAATGCTAATTTTTATAACAATATTTAAACGCCCCCCGAGCCGCTATAGAGCTGCTGCATATCATTTGTAAAGTAGATCATGTCAATATAATCTGGATTCTTGGAAAAAAAATATTAGAAAATTAAATAAAATACATTCTACACCATAAAATCACATTAATGATCATTACAGCTATTGTGAATTGTCATTTAGAATAAGTAATTGCTGCATGCTTTTCTAGAGCATACTTTTAGGCAAAACTTTTATTTTTTAACTAAAGTCACATACGATGTTTAAACATGTGCCAAGTAAAAATAATGATTTTAGACCGTTGCAGAACATTTGGGATAGATTTAGATATGTCGGTCCATCCGTCTATCAGTCTGATTCTACCAAAATTAGATATGTTTCGAATTTGGACTGCACCCGTCCTCTCCTTCTAATAATTCTCAAACTTATTAAATTGTTATACCCTCCACCATATATAGTATGGAGGGAATATTAAGTTCGTCATTCCGTTTTTTAACTCATCGAACAATGTATATATATTCTTGATCAGCAGAAAATTCTATATAGGTCCATATAACGGCGCCCCCGATATTCAATATTTGGATGATTTTAGCGACATTATTCACCGTAGTTGTTTCAAATTTTGTATTTAGAGTTCGTAATGCAAAACTCAGTCTATCGCAGAAAATTCTCTATACAGGTCCAGGACTTCATATAAGCCCCATATATCAGTTCATGTTAACATTCGGCAATTTGCCGAATATAGGTACAATATTCACCGAAATTGTTTGAAATATCGTATTTTAAGTTCATAGTGAGTACTACAGCCTGTGGCAGAAAATTGTCAATGCAGATCCAGGTCTTCGATATAAAGGTACCTCCCTATATTCAGTATTTTGATGATTATAGCTACATTATTCAAGTTTTGGATTTCAATATTGTAATGCCTTTTGAAAAGATGCCTATGCAGTTCCACGTCTTCGCAGAGACCCTAATATAAAGGCTAGATTCCGTATTTTTAAGATTTTAACAGAATTGTAAACATATTTTTTTTAACATTTCTAAATTTGTTCCATGGTGGAGGGTAGTCAAACTCTCTACTGAAGGTCTATAAGACATTTAGAATGTCTAGAATATATTTAGAATGACCGGAAAGACTTTTAAAGATCTGGAAGAGCTTTAGAAAGTCTAATAGTTCTTTAATCTGTCTATAAGACTTATAGAAAATACAAAAGGTCTTATGAATCTAGACCTAGGTGTTCAGGACTTTATAAAGAATAAGAAGACGTGAAGAAGATGTGCTCTCCAATATATAAGTCCGTTGGAATTTCCATATGCCCGAAAGTCCGTCTATCCCTAGAATCCTCTTCCATGTATAGAACCTATCTGAATGATCTTTCTCCTCTGAAATAAGTTTTTAATTATAGAAGTGACTTAAAATCATTATTTTTGTAGAAGACCTCTAGAAGTGTATTACCTACAGAATATTTCTGAGAAATCGTTTATCTAAAGAAGAACTGTGGAAAATTGCCGATAGAAAACATCGAAATAGTCTTCTATTTTTTAGAGGATCGCCTAACTAAAAAGTCTGTAGTATACCCCTGAAAGTGGGTTAAGAACTTTCATCCACAGAAAAATGCTAAAAGGTCTTCAATCTCGGGTAGACGTCTCGAAAGAAGGTCTTTGAGAGCTATTCCATCATTCCATAATATCTCTGAATTTTCTCTATCCTCTGGAAGAACATTTATCAACGACTCGTCGTCTATATAATGAGGATGTACGAAAATTATTTATCAATGAAAGAATTCAAAAGTATTATTTTTGTGGAAAGTGAACTAGAAGTCCTCAAAAAAAGATATATATCTATAGAAAATAATGCTCTTCTATACAGAGAAAACCTTAGAAGGCTCCTAGATGGTGTTCTATACATAGAAAATATCTAGAGTTCTATTGCAGAAGACCTTTAAACGGTCCTACATCTATTGACATCCACTTGTGGGTGTTCTAAAGGTTTTTTTAAAGAGCTATAGGAATACATTTTAAATTAAAAAAATATGAAATTTTTATTTCAATTTAATATTTGAAAATTTCATTTCATGCAAATTTTGACCACGACTAGGCCTCAAATAATACATCCGCTCAGTTCACTTCCGGCCGGTATCTCACGAATAAATGCTACAATGCTCTTCAAATGGAACAATTCGAAGTAAAAATAAAAAAAAACTTTACATTCAAAATGTCTCGAATTCAAAATTCAATTCTCGAAACACAACCAAAATGTTACGAAGATCTATTGAACAAATGTAGAAAACCTCATATTTATAAAGGTCTACATTAAGAAGCACCTCCAGAAATTATTCTACCAGTGTAAGGCATAAATCTAATTTATTTCGTATACAGAAAATATATATAGAAGATCAATTAAGTATAAATAAACAAATAGAATTAATATTGTTTAAAATTAAATAGCTAGAAAAATCCCTAAATAATTAACTTCAATACAAATTATATGATTCCTACTTACCATATTGTACCGGAGGCATTATTACAAAAACATATGACTTTGATTATTGTAGTAAACACACTCATAAATTCGCGAATTGCATTATTTTTATATTTTTCCCTCTTGACCACAGGTACAAACACTTAAAAACGCTTTTAAATATTTTATAAACACACCAACACGACGGAAGGAAATTAGGACTTTTGATATTAACAGATAGCTTTTTAACGAAGGCAATAAAGAAAACATGAATATGTTAACAGAGAACTTTTCTACAGAGAGCTTTTGATAATACAACAACAAATTATGCATTGAGAACGGATATAAAGATTTTTTTCCACATATGTTGCCAACTACATTTTTTGTGGGTCCATCACCTTTCCTCTCTAACACTCTTAAACCGAATGGCCATCCGACATAAACAAAACGAACTTCACACACACACGAAACATATACATTGATATTTTCTGATTGCAACTTCTTCTTGAGAGAGTTTGCAAACGGCAAACAAACTCACTTGATTTGTTGCACATACACACTCGCGCACTCATTCATTCGCGGAGAACTATTGATATTTAATTGCTTTTTTAACCATTTTGCCACACGAATTTTTGGAAATAAATAGAAAATGTATTATTTTAATTTGACATTTAACTCATTTTCAGCAATTTTTTTATATTTTCCTTATTAATTTACCACATTTTACGAGAACACTATGCAACACAACCGAACCAAATGAAACCGACGCGAGAACTAAATGAAATGGGCGCAAATTTCTTAAGTCGATGACAGTTATGAGAGAGAAGAGTTGTTTAATTTGATTTTTGCATTGACATTGGTCGTTTGCAGGTGCATCTTAGTTTTAAACGCATGTTTGGGTAATCTATGCGCATTCATTTAATGGGATGTTTTTTAATATAATATTAAATAGGTAATTTTAGGAACATGACATTTTATTCATGACTTTATTATTGTAGGTATTTATCTACAAAATATGTTTGGAGTAATATCTTGGTAAAAAATCTTTTTAACTTTCTTATTCTTATTTTATCTAAATAATTGGGTAAATAAGAGATCATATAGGGTAGCATCGCAAATGATCAAGAGGCCTTTATCTACAAAATATGTTTAGAATAATATCTTGGTAAAATATCTTTTAAACTTTCTTATTCCTATTTTATCTAAATAATTGGGTAAATAATAGATCATATAGGGTAAGTGTACCATGATTTTTAGGATTTTCGTACCATTCTGAATGGATTTTCAGAATTGAAATTTTGTTTAGTTTTAGAGGGCTCGTTTTTCTCAAAGAGTTCGTGAATAGTAATACACAGCTCATGTCTGATTTGAAAGATAATAAGTTTTATCCTTTCGCTGAACGACTTCTGTTGTGCATAGGCTTGAATAACGCTGGGAAATATTACGATATTTCTTTGAAAATCATGGCTGTGTACTGCGGATTTTGAAAGCAGAGAAGCAAAATGTAGAAATTAAAAAAATTGTCCTAATTTAGCTTTTTCCGATTGCCACATTCATATTTTATTCTATTATTCATTTTTTAGTTTCAAAGTGCAGCAAAATAAGAATAAGTTCAGGCAATGTTAAAATTAAAATTGTTTGAACATTTACATGCCCGACGCATTTCGGTAACAGTTATAAAAATACGTCCGACATAAGTAGTGGTATAAGATATTGTTCTTTCAAAAACATTCTTCCAAATAATTCAAATAAAGGACAACATTAAATGTGGGTCGATAATAAAGTCGTTCCTTCCTTTTTAATTGTAAGACTTCTTATGAAGATAAATGTAAAAACTTTTGTAGAAAACTAGTAAAAATAATAGAAATAAATGACAACCCTTTAAAACTCACATATGAGCCTATCGGAAGTGGTAAATCGAACTGCTATAATTTTGCAGTTACTGTCTAACAAAAAATAACGTCAGTTTTAAAGCGTCACCTAAAAGTCGACGTAGCGTACCCAAATATTCAATCTTCCCGTCATGATAAAAATTCCCATATTTTAAAGCCTACCAACCAAATAACCTTGTAACTTTGAAATTTTGTACGCTCGACGTATTTAAATGGTAAAATAATAAAGGTAAAGTCATTTCAAAAAAGCATTCCCATCTCTGTAATTCATGATTTATGAAAATACAATGGATTTAAATGATACAATGGACAATGAGATATTGTCAAATTTGATGACTTTACCTTCTTAATTCTACGGTGCGTATTTAGTTAACATTCATATTAATACATGTGTTTTACTTGTGTGATGAAAAACGTCAAATTTTAGGTAACTTAATTTTCGGGTAGGTAACAATTTACGAGTAAAATCTTTTCACAAATAGTAAAAGTTGTAAAATCTTGCAGGCAAAGAAACAAAGTTAATATTTCTATATTATTTACGTACATTATTTTTTTTATTATTTATTACTTAATTACCTCCTTACATATTATTTTATTACTTTTTATTTTTATTATTATTTAATTAAGTCTTTATTTATCCATTTTTCAATTTAATTGTTCGTTCATTTATTTATTCCTATTCTACTATTCCTTAATTTCACTTACATGTTAACGTCCGTTAAAGGTAAAGGTGCACCGTATATGTGACAATTGAAGTGTCTCTCATTTCTCATCAAATTTTGCGACACTCAACGGAGTTTGTTATTTAACTTTATTTTGATCGGTTGTGTATTGTGGAATTCGTATAAAGTTTTGCAAATAAAAAAGAAAAGAATTAGATATTTAGTGCAAAAGTTGTTCAATATGCATATGAAATCAAGTGCATTCGATTATGTGTCTATTGATGTGTCGCAAAAAAAAGTTTTATGAAAAAACAAAATGGGAGAGGAGAAATTTCAACATTTAAACGAAAGAAAAGGGAAAAAATAGGAAAAAGGCGCAATCAGCCTTAAAATCGTGTGCATTTGATTCTAACAAACTACAACACATTTGAAATCGTTATAAAACATAAATGATTCTTCATATCCGTTCCATATTCCAGCGTTATTCTTTGAGTTCTAAAAAGCTCTGCTGCTGCAGACGTTTTCTGTTAAATGTTGCCATTTTCAATTTCCTTCGTTGAAATAATATTCTGAATATGCTGTTTGAAAGCTTAAAGCTTTTTGTTAACAGAAAAGCGTTTTATTAATAGAACATGGAATTTGTTTGAATCGCAAAAACGGGTATTTCGAAAATAATTTTTGTTAATAACCAAAAATAATGTGGCTTCACATTATATTCAAAAAATGTTAAAAATACCTAAATTGTTGTTGTTGCCTTGTTGTATAAAACAATGTGGCATTAGAATTTAATTTGTCATTGCTGTTAGTGGATGTTTTATGTTTCCGATGAACTTGTATGTACACTTAGTCGAAGTGGCAACAACTGCCCGGCTAGCTCAGTCGGTAGAGCATGAGACTCTTAATCTCAGGGTCGTGGGTTCGAGCCCCACGTTGGGCGCAAGTAACTTTTTTAATTATTCATTTATTTTTTTAATTTGATTAAAAATATTCTTATACATTTAAAAAATTTAATCTCGCAGAACCTGCTTGATATAAAAAGATTACTACAATAACTGATCTTCCCTTTGTGATATCGGAAGAATTTGTAACATTTAGTTTAATACTAATTTGCAGATTCTTGAACACAATCAATGTAATTTGGATTTATTGACAGAAAAATAAGGCATATGAAAGGCCACGACAATTAAATAAAGCCCCAGGAATGAATTCATTAGAATTGTACTCCACCGACCACATTTTGACCTCAGAATTGTCTCCAGTCCTGTTGTTTACTTACCCACAGAACTCCAAAAAATCTCGTTTTAGACTGTGGTAAAAATTTTCCAACTCCCAGGTCCTTATGTTTTTGTTGTTGTATCTTGTTGCATAACTTACGGCTAAAAATTAGCCATCAACACTACCCTTTGAGCTAAAACTAAACCAAATTAAAAAATTCAACAAATTTACAATGCCAATACAATATTTGCCCAAAGTTCCGCCGCAGCTTTGTTAATTGTTTTGTCTAGCTAAAACTTCTTTATTCCTGGCACAATATAACCCTGTAGAAAGCTTCTATGGTTTATTATAAAAAACCCAAAAAATAGTTTTCATTAAAAATATATTAATTCAAATTTATTTTATTATCGTAGAGTACGTGCTTATGGTCCAGGTATTGAACCCATTGGTCCAGTTGTGGGAGCTCCAGCCAATTTCACTGTGGAAACTTTCTCAGCAGGCAAAGGTAAGTTTGTCATTTATGAAAATTAAAATGTGCTTAAATTAATTTTTCTTTGCTTCCCCCCTTGCCTAGGCCAAGTCGATGTTGAGGTCATCTCCCCCGATGGTTTGGTGGAAAAAGCCGATGTCCGTTTCAACAATGACAAAAACCTCACCTATTCCATTTCGTATGTACCCAAAATGGAAGGTGAACACAAGGTGATTGTAAAATTCTCTGGACGTGACATACCCAAGAGTCCCTTCCCCGTTAAGGTTGAGGGTCATGCCGGTGATGCCTCTAAGGTTAAGGTCACTGGACCCGGTATCCAACCCAGTGGTGTGGTGATTAGCAAACCCACCTTCTTTGACATCCTTACCCACGATGCTGGTCGTGGTGTCCCTGAGGTCATTATCATTGATCCAGCCAATCACAAAACCTCTGTGGCCGCCAAGGTTAGACAATTGGAAAATGATGTCTGGCGCTGTGAATATGTTTCGGCCTTGCAAGGTTTACATTCGGTCAATGTTTTCTATGCCGGTACACCCATACCCAACAGTCCGTTCCCAGTGAAAATTGCCCCACTGTCGGATGCCAAACGTGTTAGAGCCTCCGGCAGAGGTCTACAACCGAATGGTGTACGTGTAGGCGATGATGCTGATTTCAAAATCTACACTGAAGGTGCTGGTGAAGGTTTGCCCGAGGTTAGAATTGTCGGCCCCGGTGGTATGAATGAAAATGTGGCCATGACCAAATTGGATGCCCACACCTATGAGTGCCATTATTACCCCAACAAAGAGGGTAGATATGTTGCTGTCGTTACATTTGCCGGCCAAGAGATCAATAAGTCACCGTTTGAGGTTAAGGTCGGCCCCAAGAAGGAGTCCAATATTGTAGCCTTTGGCCCTGGTTTGGTGGGCGGTGTTGTTGGCTATCCGGCTGCCTTTGTGGTTGAAACCAATGGTGAAACTGGTGCTTTAGGATTTACAGTAGCTGGTCCTTCTCAGGCTGAGATAGAATGTCACGATAATGGTGATGGTTCCGCTTTGGTCAAATATCATCCAACGGCTCCCGGTGAATATGCTGTGCATATTTTGTGCGACAATGAAGATATACCCAAATCGCCATATATTACACAAATCCTACCCAAAACCGATTACCATCCGGAAAAGGTAAAGGCCTGGGGTCCTGGTTTGGAAAAGAATGGTGTTTCGATAAACGAACCCACAAGTTTTACTGTTGATGCCACCCAGGGTGGTCCAGCACCCTTGGATGTTATTGTTGAAGATATCTATGGCAAGAGATTGCCGGTGGATGTTAAAAATCAACCAGATGGTACTAAATTGTGTACATACACACCAGTGTCGGGAACACCACATACCGTGGAGGGTAAGAAAAAGAAGAAGTCTAATTTTCAATTCCTTAACTCATGTGTGTTTTGTTTTCAGTTAACTTTGGTGGTGTAGCTTCAGCCAATTCTCCCCACCGCGTCTATGTTGGCTTGCCTGTTGATGCCAACAAGGTCCAGGCCTTTGGCCCCTGGTTCCAACCCGGTGTCCATCCCAATTCCCCCACCCATTTCAATGTTGATTGCCGTGATGCTGGTGAGGCTGAATTGAAGGTGAAAATTGTCCATGAAGAAACCAAAGTGGAAATCCCCTGCCGCATTATCGACAATGAAGATCAAACCTATTCCGTTGAAGTTATACCCCCCACCAAGGGTGCCTATACCACAACCATGACATACGGCGGTCAACCTGTGCCATTGGGCCAGAAAGTAATGGTTGAACAACAAATCGATGTGTCCAAGATCAAAGTTGATGGCTTAGAACCAAGTAAGTATTTTAAGAGACCCATTCATACACACATCCACAAAATACCATTCATCACATATATACATGTAAAAATCCAATTGGAACTTCCTTTCCGTGGAGGTTCTAAGAACTCTTAGAAACCCTATAACAAACTACAAACAAAAAGAAATGTTCATCATCTAAGACCAAAAACTTTCGTTACAAACTCATTTACCAACAAGCTGCACCATTAAATAGTCTCCAGCAGTTTCGCATTATTACCCATGGCCTGCCGAAGGCCGATTTGGCGGTAACCATAACCAGTCCCTCTGGCAGCCGGGTTAAGGCCCATGTCATACCCACAGCAGAGGGTTTCCTTGTGAACTTCACGCCCACCCAACTGGGTGAATATTTGTTGAGTATATGCTTTGGCGGCACACCCATTACGCCAAGACCATTCCGTTTGCAATGTCTGAGTGGCAGTGATTCGAATAAGGTGCGAGCCTTTGGTCCGGGACTGGAGAAAGGTTTGGTGGGACAACCAGCTGAGTTTATGATCGACACACGTGGAGCGGGCCAAGGTGGGCTGGGTGTCACCGTAGAGGGGCCCTGTGAAGCAGCCATTAACTGCCGCGACAACGGAGATGGCACATGCAATGTGGCCTATTTGCCCACCGAAGCCGGAGACTATACTGTAAATATAACATTTAATGAACGTCACATAAATGGATCACCATTCCAACCGATTATATTTCCCTTGCCGAATCTCAGCAATACACGTGTTAGTGGTATCGGCATACAGCCACATGGTAGGCTATAATGGCAACCCAAATTCGTTGTTAATTGTTTTGTTCCGTTTTGCGCTGTTGCTGTGATGCTGCAAGCCGATTCCATTATCGAAAACCTAAAATGAAACAGAGTAAAAAAGAAAAGTAAAATGCTTTAAAGGAGAAAGAAATAAAAAGAAGAAAAGAAAGCAAGCAAAGCCAGTACAAACATGATTAACTCCAATTAAGCCAAAGCATGTAACCAAAGCCAAAGCGCTCAGCCAACCAGCTAGCTAGCTAATTACCCAGCCAACGCTTTTTTTTGTTTTTTTAAAAACATCCCAAAACAACATTAATGCATGCCCTATTTTAATTGTTTAATTATATATAATATATTTTATAGACTATTTCTTGATACTGATTTTGTTTTAAAAAGTTTTTAAACCGAAATTTTCCACAAAGATCTTCCTTATTTTCAAAATTAATTTCAAATAATTTAAGAACTTTTCACCTTTCTCAGGTGTTCTTCGAAGCATATCGGTTGTAATTCGAAACTTTTCGCTTTAAAACATAGAACTTTTAATTAAAAATTGAAAATTTTGACAACAAATTAACTAATACGAATTTTAAATGGATTTACAAAATTTATTTTTTAACAAAAATAAAATTCTCGAAATACAATTGAAATTTTACGAATTACAAATGGGTTTCTCGATTAACATCTGAAACTAAAATGAAACAGAATCTGAACCAGACTCTTATTGTTAAAAAGCTCCCCATATTCAGACGTCTTCGGATTTCCTTATTTTTGTTGTTGTCCTTTCACAAAGTAAATGTTGTAACCGTTTACTGTTTTTTACATCCAACTTTTTAACCCATTTATACCTTTGTTGTTTTTCAATTTATTTAAAATATTTCTAATAAAAATTCTCACCTTCCCTCTCCCTCTCCCCACTAGGTGTCATCATGAATGAAAAAACCGATTTTATGGTGGATATGAGTAAGGTGGGTGCCAACATTGATTCCAAGAAGCTCTCATGCTCTGTCTTCGATCCCAAGGGCCAAATGTTGCCCAGTGAAATATTGCCTGGACCAACAAATGATGTCTTCCGCATCATGTACACACCCTTCGAAGCTGGCCGTCATACCATTGAGCTGTTATACGATAACATTCCCGTGCCAGGTTCACCATTTGTGGTGAATGTCAAGAGCGGTTGTGATCCAAGCCGTTGCAAGGCCTATGGCCCAGGTTTGAAGAGAGGTTTCGTAAATGAAAAGAACAAATTTGTCATCGAAACAAAAGGTGCCGGCAAGGGTGGTCTTTCGCTGGCCATTGAAGGACCCTCTGAGGCTAAATTGACATGCATCGATAATCGTGATGGTAGCTGTGATGTGGACTACTTGGCCACCGAAGTGGGTGAATATGATATTTCAATACGTTTTGCCGATAAGCACATACCCGGCTCCCCATTCACTGTCTATGTGGAAGAACGTTCGGATCCCTCGAAAGTTAAGGTATACGGCCCTGGCATTGAACATGGCGAAGTACGTGAGGGTGTACCCACCCACTTCTTTATTGATGTACAAGATGCCGGTCCCGGTCGCATTGCTGTGAAAATCCAGAATTCCGAAGGCAAACCCATTGAAGATTTGCGCGTAGAAGAGAAGGGTGATGGTATCTATTGCGTCCATTATTCTCCACCCAAGGAGGGTTCCGTTTTGACATGTACCATTACATTTGCCGATACTGAAGTGCCATGCAGGTAAGTGGAGAATTCAAATTGGAACATTTAACGTTTTCTTTGCTCTGTTTTGAGTCCCAAATGTGTGTCGAGTTAGTCTGTTGTTGAGTTGTTCAATAACGTTGATCGTGAATAGCTTTGTTCAGTTTATTTTGTTTGGACTTTTTAAAATCTATTCACTGCAAAGAACCGTGGGAAGAGTTTCATCAATAAATGAAGAGTTGAAAGAACATCATTCCGACCGTTGACTATCCAGAGTGATTTTTTAAGGCTATATGAAAGTTAAAGCAAGTAAAAAAACAACAAAAACGTGGACCTATACATACAATGTTTGGCCAACGGAGCTAAAACCCATTATGACCCACAAATACCAATTTCTAGACAAATTCGAGAAAAAATGTGTCAAAAATCATCAAAATATGACCCACAAATATTAGTTTTTCAAGATAGAGGGTATAAGATTATACAAAAAATTAAAAAAAAAAAATGATAAAATCTTTATTTGAATTCATTGTAGGACCCACATTATTTATTTCTTAAAGTTTATTTCATGCAAATGTTGACCACAACTATACTCTTTCCTCGCCTCTCAATAAGTCTATTGTAACGCGTGCATGTACACAATATTAAAACGGCTTCCCTTTCGATATTTTATATTATTCATGAGACACCCAACTTATTTTTTTTTTACTCCCGAACCGGCCTTCGTATTTTCTCTTGTTGGTTTTTTTTAATAAGCTTTCAAATGATACGCATATTGTATTTTAGGGTGGGTAGAACCAGATTTTGTATCCGAACTTTTGCGCCGAAAAATGTTTTCCATCAAAAAAAAAAAAAAATACTTTGGCGTAAACAGGTTAAAAATACCTACATGTGATAAAAATGTCAAGGCAATCCGAGAATAGCCCTAAATTTCAAAATAAGCTAAGCTTTTTGAAATTGTGTTCACTGAAGAGAACCACAGAACTAGTTCAATAACACAGCGTTCAGTTTCATTTATTGGATTTACTCGAAAGAAATTCAGTCCCGCCAAGGGCATTTGATTAGTATGTAATGTGGCGTTTCCACTGCACTTGATTCGCTCTCTATTCGTTGTTTGACCCTTAACTATGAAAAAACTACCTAATTCTTCACACAAAATTTACTGAGCGAACACTCATATTTGTACGTTGTTCAAATCAAATCACTCTCAGAACAACGAAAAAATATGTCCCATCCCTAACAAATGAGAGCATTTATCGAAAAAATAAATTATGACATTTAAAAATTAAAAATAGAAAAATTTGATGAAATTTTAAAAATTTTTGGGAAGACTGAAAATTATGAATGAAAACTACAATGTTGAATGGCGTATGTACATTCAAACGAAAGTAAATTTTGTTTTCTCTCTCATTCGAGGTACGCATTTTGTACACGAGTTAAAATTTCAACAGAAAACGCAAACAAAAGAGGCAACATTTTCAAAATGTTTCTATCGGCAGAAAAAATGTTTGACAAGTGTCTCTCCAGCAGAAATTAAAAATGGAAAAACACAAAAATGTGTTCAAAATGTCAACATTTACACAAAAAGTTGAAATCGTGAATGAAAATTGTAAAATTAATGATATAATAAATCTTTGGGAGGAAAACAATAATTTCTTTTATTCATATTAGTGAGAATTTCATGTATTTTCGAAATAAATTCCCATTAAAATCAACAAACAAAATTTTTGAAAAAAGGAATTATTTTACTATGAATTACGAATCGTGCCGTATGAACGGGTTAATTCGTGTACTTAATTCTGAGAGCGAACAACGTTGTTCGGTTTCCAATGGAAACATGCTATAACATTGGAGATAATGGAGTTAAAAAGGCACCGTCGATATAGGAATCGATGTAAAACAGAGCCTGCAGCGCCTCAAGTTGTAATCAATACAATGAATTGCAAAAGATATGTTCGAAGATGAAGGATTTGTATTCAAATTGCAGCAGTCTGTTATGCACAAGTCTACGTCTCCACAACTTACTTCTAGTGGCCCATTTATGCCTATTGAGAACGTGTCACCAGGCTACAACCTGTAAGTGCGTTCTTACTTTGGTTCATACAATTTGGAACTCCTCACCAGGATTGGTATAATAAACCAACCATTCGATTTCATAGCATCAAAATGATGGATAAACATTTCCGCAACATTAGCTGCCGATGGTCATAGACATTCTTAAGAAAGTAGGATAGAAGACCCACATTTGAAAGAATTTCACGGAACATCCCAATTAATCTCTAACACATCACTGCTGCCGACTAAAAACTCGAGTTTGTCGATAGGCTCCCTCAAAAATAGCATCATACCTATTTTTGAGGGAGCCTCTGCCGAATATAGATGCAGCCGCCAGCAAAGATGAGGGTGGAATAGAATTGAGGAGCAGCTAAGATTTATAATGTTCTTTGTTTCTAAGGGCAGGCAAAATGCGCATCTATTTGAGTGGAATAAGTTGGACAAATTTAATGGAGCTTTATGTTGTTTGGATAATATCTAGAATAGGAACAAATGTTTTCAATATTTGGAAAACTCAAACTTGTCGTCAGGCACCCTTAGTAATGGACGTTATCACCATAGCGCTGCCGAAAAGATGCAGCTGCCAACCGATGTGAGGGTGGAGTATAGTTGTGGTGTATCTCACATATATAGGTTTGTTGTGTTCATAAGGACGGGGTCACGGATAAATCCGAATAAAACTAATTTAATGGGGTTCATCTTGAAAAGGAAAGATAATAATAAATTGCTAAGACCCAAAATTTGAAGAGGAAACAACGTGAAGTTATTTTAAAATTTATATATTTTTATTATTCGTATTTATTTTAATTTCTCTTTTAATATTTTGCAGTCCCTTCGTTATGACCGTATTCCCCAAGTCCGAACCCCACAAGGTCAAAATCAAGGGCGTCAATGACAAGAAGAAAACACCTGCCTCCCGTCCAGCTGAATTTGAAGTTGATACGAAAAAGGCTGGACAAGCCGACATTGATGTTGACATTAAAAATCCCAAGGGTAAGGCTGTCAAGCCTCGTCTGCAAGAAATCAATGAAGGTACCTATGTTGTGTCCTTTGTACCCGATGAATGTGGCACCTATATGGTTAGCATTAAATATGGTGGTCAAGAGATTGAGGGATCACCCTTCAAATTGGAAGCCTTCCAAACGGGTGAAGCCAAAAAGTGTAAACTTGTCGAAGAGGCACCCAAAATTCAACCCTCTGGCAGTAAGAGTCATTTAACTGTGGATGCCCGTGAGGCTGGCGATGGTGCTGTGACCTGTAAGATTGCCTCTAAAACAGGAAAGTAAGTTGACATTTTTATAAATTGCTCCAATCCAGAATCTGAAAGAATTTAAAAATGTTACCACGATTTTTACTTTATGATGTGGAAAAAATTGCAAAACAAATAGATTCTTGCAGATTCTGAAACAGATCAATTGTATGTGGTATTTCTTTATTAATTTATTTTCTTGTGTTTGTGCATTTAATTTTTAGGGAAATTGTGGACATTGATGTTATTGAAAAGGATGGCTTCTTTGATATCTTCTATGCCTTGAATGATCCCGGAGATTATGATATTAATGTGAAATTTGGTGGTAAAGACATACCAAATGGTAGCTTCTCCATTAAGGTAGTTTGATTATGAAAGCCATTTAAATTATTTAAGAATATTTTATCTCCACATTTTTAAGCCATGCCAAAGTTGAAGCTACATATCTATTATCTAGTCTATGCCTAGTGAATATAGAAGGTCCTTTAGTAACAAGAAAAAAAAAAAAAACAATTAAATTAGCAATTATTGAACAAATATTAAGCTATTTTATTATTAAATACCAACAATGAAAACAAATGTCAATATCAAACACAATTTCACAAACAGTTTAAATTTAAAATTTTGAATTTAATTTTTTAAAATTAGTTTTAGCCTCAAGTTATTCTTTTACATACATACGTTTTCAACAAATTTTGTTTTGAAATAAAATAAAGCAACAAAAAGAAAACAATACATTTACCACAATTGTATGACATTAGTAAACAATAAAAACAAGTTACTTTCCCCCCAAAAACAATGTGAGACAAACGAAACTTTTTACAAAACAATATTGTAAAACCAAACCAAACAAGATTCCAGTAAGATTCTTTTTTCAATATGCATGCCCTACTATATTTTTTACACAAACACAAAATATCACAATTGCTTAATTTTGTTCGCCCTTTTTGAAATTAATGCTTATTTTTTATATATATAAAAAATATAATTTATATTTTTTCCTTTTTTACAGAAAAAAATATTTCATAAGAAACTTAATTTTAATTTTAAGCTGTTTGTGTTTATTTTTGTGTTTTTAACATATTTCTTTTTTACAATTTTTGTTATTTATCCAATCCAATTGGTTTTTTTACACACAATGCCTAATCAATAATTGCTAATTTAGTTTTTTTATATAACCTTCTTAGAAAAAGTAGAAAGCTTTGGCAAAATAATGAAACAAAAGTACGTTCTTATTTTGCACTCTGCGCTTAAAATGTTTGTTTGAAATACCACCACAACGCAAATGCAATGCAGCGACAGCAGTAACAGCAGCAATATTAATTTTTAAACGCCTCGCCCTAATATGTTATTTTTTTCTACATCAAGTTAATAACCATTTTAGGTCGTAACTGGATATCAGGTAAGTGCGAAACTTTTTCAAATCTACTTTAATGATATGTTTCATGTGTTAAAAATAGGGACAAAATATTTCGAGTGGATTCTTTTAGAATTAGTTGAAGGAATTGGTGAATATAAAATTTCATGACTACACGACTGGGAATATTTTTCTATATACATAAAAAATCGTCCTTAGATTTAAAGGATTTTTGAATTCAGTGGTATAGGATTTTATTATGTAGGAGAAAATTCAAGTAAATATCTGAGAATTTTTCAATAAAAAATTTAATTTTTATACCCTCCACCACACATAGTATGGAGGGTATATTAAATTCGTCATTCCGTTTGTAACTAATCGAAATAATAATTTTAGACCCAACAAAGTATATATATTCTTGATCAGCGTAAAATTCTAAGGCGATTTAGCCCTGTCCATCTGTTGTAATGAGAGTCAAAACAAATAAAGATGGGAAGTTACAATTTTGCACAGATCTGTATTTTGTCAGCAGGCAGGTCAAACTCGAGGTCCACGATACCGTATAGACCCAATATAACTGCACAGTCGTATATTAGGGCCTTCAGACGGCCAATGAAACCGTCATACGCTGCCCGAAAATTGCTCTGCGGTATTTTGGTCCATTCCCGGCGTAGCGTGATCGACACATTGGTATTTTTTAGTGTCAACCTTGCTTTACAAAATACTCCAGACACAATAGTCCAACGGATTGGTATCCGGAGATTTTGGTGGCCTTTGTGTGCTGGAAACGAAGCGAGGAACCTCATTTTGTAACCATTCTTGGGTGGCGCGTGCTGAGTGCGATGGTGCTGAGTCCTGTTGGAATGTCCAAGGTCTGTAGCCAAAATGTTAACATGCCCAAGGCTTTTTTCCAGAATATTTTCGCGATAATACTCGGCATTTATTCTAATGCCACGGTCGATTAATACGAGCGGAGAGCGACCATCGGCTGTTATGGCGGCCCACACCATCACCATGGCCGGCGCTTGAGTTCTGGTGGCCAACCGAAGGTGCACATTTTCAGCTGACCTCTTTGGCATCATTAAGTTTGTTTACAAACTGCTGGACAACGAATGTTTTCTCATCGGAGAAAACGAAATTCGACAGTTCACCACTTTCGGCCAAGCGAAGCAACTCTTTAGCTCTTTTGAGTCTATTTCCTTTCAGTTGCGGTGTAGACTTTTTGGAATTTCAATGGCTTTATCCCGAGCTCATTTTTCAATATTTGCCGAATGGAATATTGCGATATGTTCAGCTCACGAGCCATTTTTCGGCCACTGCGACGCGGGTTTCAATCAAGTGGCTTCTTTACTCTTCGAACTATTTCTGCTGATGTTGCTGTTTTCTTCCGGTCACTTCTTTGACAAAAAAAAAAAAAAAATATTCACATTTAAGTGATGTTGTGCTCTAACGATAGCCACTTGTGGTTTTCCAGCCAAATATAAAGAAATCACACTATCACGCTTGAATTACATCACGAATAACTTTTTTTCTGGAAAATTCTCACCGAAATGATTTTGTACACTTGTAGACAATATAATGTGCTGTCACTGGAATAATTTTAACAGCTGTCGAGCGAGTGGCTTAGAAATGACAGCAGTCTGAAGTTGGTTGCAGTTTTTTATCTCACCCTGTATATACAATATAGGACGGACCACTACCTCAGGTACATTTCGGTTAAGGGTCAAAATTTTGAAAAACCAAAACAATTATAAAATATGAATTAATCTTCCAAATATCTTAAAATTTCACACATCTCAATATTTTTCTTAACACAAGATCTCGTATAAAGATGGAATATATCGAACCACTTCTACTGGCACATCCCCCGCCACGGCTAAACATTTTGAGCTTTAACATAGCCCCACAATAAATAGTCGAAAGGGTTTAAATCTTTAAATCTATTTTTATAATAAAATGCAATGATTTTCAATTTGATGTCCGTTTTTAAACCAATTTGTGGTTAAATTTTAATTCCGTCTGAAACCACTGTCTCTTACCAACTGCAAATTTTCAATATGACATTTAGTTGTCGCAAAAACAATATAATTATTTGATATTTATTTAAGTATATCTATTGTTGGACACACCTACGTGAGCCATTATAGCTACATTTACACACACATATGCACTAGCCTTACAAATATGTCAACAACATCGTGGCAAATGTAACAATTTTGATGTGTATGCATTGTTTGCATGCCAGCAGACACATTATGATCTTTATACTAGATATGATCGCGATCTATTCTATAGTAATTCTAGATATAATACGATATTAATTTCATAAATTGGCCAAAGGCCAACAAACCCCATCTCGATATTGTTTTGTTTTTAGCATAGAATGAGATGAAAGAAATTTCCACAATCTCTTTCGACAAGTTTGTATGATGGTATGTATTTATGTATGTATGTAGGTAAATTTATTATACATTTCCTACAAATGTAGATTATATTTTGGTGACAGTGTCTAGGGGATAACAAAAACAATAATGCAAATGCAAATTACTCGTGTCGGCTGTGAAATTTGAAATATTTTAAATTTGAATAACTCACTTGCTGAGTGACAGTCGTAAATCCGTTGTCACCAATGTTGACATTGAAAGTGGTAAAATTTATTTATTTTATTCTTTATTGGGAACAATTATAAATGCAATGATTTGTGGGAAAATATAGAGATGCTGGAGAGTAGAATGTTGGTCAGAAAATACTTAAACATATGCTATAAAGATTTAGCATTGTCCAGTTTATCATTAGAGAAAATTGAGAATCTTAGGCGTAACTCATTGAGAGTAGCCAAAAATCAATTGAGGTATAGAACCAAGCCTATTATAGTTTCCATGAATTTGTATACCCTACACCATACATAATATGGAGAGTGTATTAAGTTCGTCATTCCGTTTGTAACTCATCGAAAAAATACTTGAAGACTTTCAGACAAAGTATATATTCTTGATCAGCGTAAAATTCTAAGACGATTTAGCCCTGTCCGTCCGTTCGCCTATTGTAATAACGCAAAACGAATAAACATAGGAAGCTAAAATTTTGCACAGATTGGTCTGTTGTCTGCATGCAGATCCAGTTCGAAGATGGACTATATCGGTTCACGATATCTTATTGCCCCTATATAACGGCACCCCGATATTCGGTATTTTGATAATTGTAGCCAAAATTTTCAATGAAATTGTCTGAAATTCCGGAAAAGGAGTTTCTTCTGAATACTGTACTACCTGTAAGAGTATTGTCTATATAGGTCCACGATATCGTATATCCCCCATATAAGGTTACCCCCCCCCCATTTTGGTTTTTGACGATTTTAGGACATTATTCGCCGGAGTTGTTTCAAATTTCGAATTTAGTATTCGTAATGGGTACTACAGCATATGACAAAAAATTGCGTATGCAAGCCCACGTCTTCGCATAGCCTCCATATATCAGTACCTCCTTGTATTCGGTATTTTGACGATTTTAGGTAAGATATCCACCAGAGTTGTTTCAAATTTCGTATTTAGAATTCGTATTGGGTACTACAGCCTATGACAAAAAATTTCGTATACAGGCCCACGTCTTCGTATAGCCCCCATATGACGGTACCTCCCGATACTCGATATTTTGATGATTTTTTGCGACATTATTCACCGGAATTGTAACAAATTTCGTATTTAAAGTTCGTAATGGGTACTACAGCCTGTGACAAAAAATTGCGTATGCAGGCTCACGTCATCGTATAGCCTCCATATAACGGTACCTCCCAATATTTGGTATTTTTATGATTTTTGCGACATTATTGACCGGAATTGTTTCAAATTTAGTATTTAGAATTCGTAATGGGTACTACAGCCTATGACAAAAAAATGCGTATGCAGGCCCACGACTTCGCTTAGCCTCCATATATCAGTACCTCCTTATATTCGGTATTTTGATGATTTTAGGTAAAATATTCACCGAAGTTGTTTCAGATTTC